ACCTTTAGTCTACACTCCTAGATTCTTACATCTTGTTATGACCTGGAACTATTTGAGGGATTTTTTTTTCCCTTTTAAACAACAAGGCCTCTGTGAACAAATGGTTCCAGAGAAACATTTGGTGATAGTGGCTGTGGGGGAATTGGTCTGCAAACCTATAAACCAGCAGTTTGTTGGCCATAGAGGCAAGGCCCCCCTTCTTTTTCATTGAACTGTACTTGATCTACAACGTTATATTACTTTCAGGTGCACAGCGTAGTGATTCAGCATTTATGTCCATTATGAAATGATCACCATGATGAATCTAGCTACCATCTGTATCGAGAACTTTTTAAAATGTTTGCTTTTTCTTCCCCCTATGCTGTTTTGAGGATAAATAGCTGTGTTGGAGAATCAAATCATCAAGCATTTATACTTGCCCTTTCGATCTTCTTGCTAACCTCGGCGTATGGGATAACACTGACCTTGGACACCATTTGTAGAGATAGAAGTGTCTTCACAGCTCTCTTCTATTGTCCTGGAGTTTACGCAGATTACAGGTGAGATGTGGCTGCCGTAGCACAAAGCCCTGTAGAAGAGGGAACAGATGTTGCCGTTAATGTAAGGGGCTGTGATTTGCTGCCACATCAGTTTTTAACCAAAACATGGGACAGGTTATCGGATGCCGGGTATCCTTGAAATTGCCAACCGAATTGTGCAGTGGACAGGTGTGTTTCTCTAGGGTGCAGACCGTTGACCCTTACAGACTGAGGAACTAGTATGCTGCAGGGAGGGCTGGGCTCAGGCAGGGAAGTCCGGAGTCAGATAGATGACCACATGCATGGCCAAGGTAGCAGTAGTGAAACTAAAGCCATAAAGGAGCGGTCCCAGGGTATGTGTGTGGTCTATTTTGTCATAGATTGTCAAGGCAAGACAATCTTGCCTCCCTTTGTTGTGGCTTTCTCATGCTCTTTAGCCCTATCTGGATTTATTGCTTCTGACCCTTTTGTGGTGTGCTCACAATTTCTGTAACATTTCTTTACTTTGTAACCTCCATTGGTTTTTCCTGTTCTACTTTTTAAAATATCACTACTCATGATTACTGTGGTATCTAGGTCACAATTTCCTTTGTTAGGTTGGGGCACATTTATATATTGTGGAGATCTCCATGCTTTGTGGGAAGCCGGGGTTTTGCAGCTTTGGCCGCAGCCAGCCCCTCCCCAGAGCGCCCTGGGCCCCCTGCCTGTGTTCTTTGCGTGCTCTCTTCCACCTTTTCCTCTGAGGAGGATGCTGTGTGGGGTCTGTGGTTCCCAGTCTGAGCTAGGACAGCTCTGCCCCATGGTCCTTGTCTGCCTGTCTGTGTCTGTCTTTCTTTCTCTCTTTTTTCTTTTCTTTCTTCATTTTCGAGAGACAGAGTGTGTGCAGGTAAGGGGCAGAGAGAGAGGGAGACACAGAATCCGAAGCAGGCTCCAGGCTCTGAGCTGTCAGCACAGAGCCTGACGCGGGGCTCAAACCCACGAACTGTGAGATCATGACCTGAGCCAAAGTCGGATGCTTAACAGACTGAGCCACCCAGGCACCCTCCTTTTCTTCTTACTCTTCGTTTTCAGAACAATCCCCGCTTTCCCTACATAGTGCCTCTGTGGAGGTATTTGTTTACATTAGTTTGTGGCCAGATGTCCCGTTGCTATTCTCCATCTAGAGGTTTGTGAGCATTAGTAGAATAGATTGGTCCTCCTCCTCAGGGCCAATTTCTTTTCTTTCTGTACTGAGAGTGTTAGTAGGTTGTGAAATGTGGGTGATAAAGTCCCAAAGCAGGGCACGTCTTTGTGTTGCTAAGCATGAGTTTTGTGAGCTTTCTGGGGGCCACTGACATGGAATGAGGAACATGGTCCGCCGTTGGTACTCACCCTCCATACAGGTGCTTCACGTCACCCCATTGAGCCTGGTTTTCCTCATCTCTGGTGAGTTAATCATCTCTGAGTCCCTTTCAGCTTAGCAAATGAAGATTCCTTGGGATGGGTTCATTTCCAGCTGACCATTTGCAAATATTTGAAAAGAGTCAACTGGCAGACATTAATCAGTAGCCTCTCTTCGCAGTCTGACTGATGAGCTGAAAGGAGCTTTCTTGTCCAGTGTGATTCTGTTGGCTTGAGGAGGCTGGCTTTATAGACATCAGGACCTGTAGCGGTTTGTGTCCATCAATGTTGTACTGATCGTACTGACAAAATGGGGATGCAGGGCCTTAGCACTGTTCCTGCGTTCCCACCCACAGCTTCCTTGAGGATGTTTGTAGCAGTATCTGCTCAGTTAAGAACGATTTTGGAATTGTTCATTCATTCGATAGATTCGGGATGCTGTTCTGTGAGGCACTGTGTTGGTCGCATGGGGGGACACCAAATACAAAAACATCCTTGCTACTGTAATACAACATTCTAGAAAAAGAGGCACTGATAATTATAGCATAAAATAGGACATGGGAATAGTTCTGTGTTAAGCATTCTGGTGTCCTGAGGGTGGAAAAGTATCTTCCAATCGGGATAACTGGGGAAGGCACCAGGGTCCTTCATAACGAGTACTGCACGTGTCAAATGTTAGAATGGTGCCACTTACCCACCGAAGAGATTGGTAGTCCTGACCCGCCCTTTCTCCTCCCAGCTCAGCGTTGTCCTTCACCTGTGTGTGGTACTCTGTGATCATCACGGCGGGCATGGCCTACATCTTCCTCATCCAGCTGATAAACATCAGTTACAACGTCACCGAGAGGGAGGTCCAGCAGGCCCTTCGACAGAAGACGGGGCGCCGGCTCCTCTGTGGGCTCATCGTGGACACAGGCCAGTACAACCGGGGCTTCCTGCGGAACTGGTACCAGTTCTCCACGCTGGGTGCCCACCCCTTCCACCACCCTGCCGAGGACATTGTCTGAAGTGCCTTCCGTGTGGCTCTGCGAGGGGCGGCCCCTCCCTCTGCTCCCTCCCATTGTACACTTCAGTGTCCACGCAGGATGTTCGTTTTTATCCCCAGTTTCCTAAAGGCTGTATAGGGCCATGCTCAGGTTTAGACATTGGACTGGGAAGAAATGAAGTTTCCTGACTTCAACCTAAGAGATTTTTTTATTGAAGCAGTAAAAGTAGAGCCATTCTTTTCCAGTCACCTTGTTACCTAACTCAGTCACCATGTGGAAAAGGATGTGGATTGCTAATGCACAGATTGATAGAAGCAGTTCCCATCCATTACTAGGGAAGAAAGAGTTTGGATTAGGGTAGTTTCCAGTCCCTCTTTCAATTCCTGATAGCCATGTGACCCTTAGTTGAGTCACCTCCCCGAGTCTCAGGTTCATCTGTAAAGTGGGGGTACTAATAGCACCTGCCCTGGCTTACCTCACAGTCGTGAGGGTCGTGCGAGGGATGGGGTATGTGGAAAGCACTGGAAAATGACTAAAGCACTCAACAGGTATGAAGTATTATTAGGAAGGTTCGAAGACTGAGAAAACTGTTTATAGATCAGAATACTGAAGCCAAAAGTATCAGAGTAATCCACTTTCAGCTTTTCAGAATGGAAGAAAGATCCTGAAATACCATATTGTACAGTTATGGCAACTTCTCTCTTTGAAGTATTAGACATTAACTACTCAAACGGGGTAGAGGATGACCAGATGGATTTACACGATCTTCTGATCTTGAAGGGACACTTGATAACAGTTACGATTACTGGTCGTGTAGTATACGCTGGTCTTGAATTCAGGTGATGAGTCCTTGTTTTTCATCTTATTTCTTATACATTTATTCTCTTTGGATTTACTCTACATAACTCCAAACTCCAATAGCCATTACTGTTTTTTCCCCTCTTTCCACGCTTCACCTGGGAAGGTGCTAGAGCACTTAGGATGAGGCTGGAAGAGGAGAACAGACACCCTGTGGGGAGCATTTTACCCTCTTTCCTGGGTAGAGTGGCTGGTTACTATCAAGGGCTTGATTTTTTTTTTTTTTTCTCATGTAAGTAATTCAGACACTGTCGTTACAGCACTCAGTTGCAAAAACCAGTCTTCTGGCATTCACAATTCTTCTGGCATGACCTCTCTGAGGAATTGACTGACATCTTCCTACTTGCACATTACTTCTCATTCACCGTTCCCTAGACAAAAGTATCTCACTTGGAGAGAAGAAACAGGGTATATGTGGTTTCCACTAATTAATGGACTACGATTCCTCCCTAGCTCTTCCTAAAATAGTAAGTTGTCTCTTTAATTGTATCTTTAAACTGAAAATGTACAGAAGATTAAATACTTATAGAGAATGGGTCTATTCTGCCATGGAATTAGGATAAGGCGATTTTGGATGGGGAAAATACCATCTTGAATTATTTGGTTTTATATGTGTACTTATTTTGCAATCCCAAAGAAAATTCATGAGTCCTTAAATTTGCTTTGGCTTATAGCTTCATATAGGGGAAATATTGCCAGCTTTTCCCGTCTTTCTGTGCATGCTGCCGTAGTAAGAGGTTTATAAATGTCGAGAGGAAATACTGCTTCCTGCAACTTTCCCTCTGGAGCTGGCACCGTCCCTAGTTCTGCCATGAAACAAAGCTGTCCTTAAGACACTCACCACATTTTTATATCAGGCTGGTCGCTGCTCTCCCCAGAGATGGATTGTTTAACCAATGAGAGGCTCCGTATTCCCCTGGGACGAGCCAAAGAGCAAGTCTGGGGATGTTAGCAGTCTGTGGTTTCTACAGTGATGCCCTTGCCCTGGCCCAGAGTCAAGCATTCGTTTGGAGTTAACATTGGATCTGATAGGACTGATTCTTTTCTGTGTGAGTTTGAGAGAGTAATGATGTCAGGGACAGCACATGTGGCCAGAAACCTCTATTTGTCATCTCTTGAACAACAGATGTGTAGGCAACTGATTGTCTAAACAGTTGATGATGGAATTCATAGAAATGTTAGCATAGTCGGTAATTTGAGCCTCTTGCTAAATCTTTAACAACCATCAAAACCAGACACAAAGAGGAGTAGTCCCCCAAAGACCAGGGTCACGTGGGAGGATTGAGAGCGACTGCCATCTTCATAACCGCGCAGCCTTCGAGTTTATCCGCATGGGGCCTCTCAGGCTCCCTCACCTGCAGGGCTCCTTATATATTATTCTGGCTGGTGGGAACTAAGAGGCTTGTTTTAAGTTCCTCGAGATCTTCATGATTGGTGTTTTTCAGAAGAAAGCTCAAACTTTTGAAAACTTCAGTGGTTGAGTGGGGGTAAAAGCCTACTGAAATATTTGCACCAAAAGGAGCAGCAAACAAGGGGCTCTTTGTGAGCAGGGTTTCTGCAGGCCCTCGTACACCTTTAGTCTACACTCCTAGATTCTTACATCTTGTTATGACCTAGAACTATTTGAGGGATTTTTTCCCCCTTTTAAACGACAAGGCCTCTGTGAACAAATGGTTCCAGAGAAACATTTGGTGATTCTGGCCGTGGGGGAATTGGTCTGCAAACCTATAAACCAGCAGTTTGTTGGCCATAGAGGCAAGGCCCCCCTTCCCATCCTCAGCCTGTTAATGAACACATTGGATATGGAGCTTTATAAATGAGCTTCTATAATCGTGGTCATGCCATTGTGTATCATTCCTAGGGAAGAGAAATGAGTCCATTTGGAGGATTTAAGGGAAAAAGTAGTTAAGGATCGGGATTGCATGAAAGGAGAAAGTCCTTCAGTATTTAAAATGTTTTTTATGATACCCAAAGAGTACTTTGTGGTTACGGCGGAGCCCCCTGAAATGAACTGACCTTTAATAAGCCTTAAGTGAGTTTTAGGGACACTGCTGCTCACCTCACCTCAGCCACCTCTGTGTCTGCTTATGATGCTGGAAATCTTTGCCATTCAAGTAGTGTTGTCCTTTGGTGAATGAAGTAATTGTTATCTTCCACTGTGCCACCTGCCTAGCAGAAAGGCTGCTACAAACTTTCTCTTATGCAATAGTCCTTGGTACTTCGAATATTTTTAGTAAGAGAAAATTTTCTATACTAGAATCTTCCACTGCCAGAAAACAATGCCAGTAAGGTTCGCTGGAATACTGACCATCTGCTTAATAGACTTATTTCCTTTGGGTAGGAAATTAGCTTTTTATTACAAAACTAATACAAGCAAAAATACGACATTTAGAAGCACAGTCTTAACCAGGATGTTTAACAATGTTTTGTGAGCTTTAAGGGTCTCTTTAGATGAGGTAAGTAGGTTTATAGGACTTAATTTGAGCCATATTTTGGTACCCTGAATTTGAAAAAAAGAGAATTTCCTCAAACAAGCATGGGATGGTAGAGACTTTTGCTTGAGGCACCTGTGTCGAATCTGGTTTTCTGCCACGTTATATCAAACACTGCCAAGGTGATGCAGGGGGAGAATGAGAGCTGTGCTTCGTGCTGAATAAAATCCCCTATGTTCTCCCCGGCGTTTGCTGTGGTGAATAGACACTTCTTGCAAAATCAGCTAAATGTAATCTTGTTGCTCATGGGCTGTTAACCTCACTTCAGTCGGCACCAAGTGCTTCACTGTAGTTTTAGCAGCAAAGACCCAGTGGTTAATGGAGACAATTTTCTTAGAGGTTGTGGCCATTTCTGGCTACATTTCCAAGTTGGGCTTTTGACTTCCTGCTACTCCAGCCTTCCTGGTGGCACCTTTACTCCTAGAGAATTCATACTTTAAAGGCAAAGCTTTAAAAGCAGAGCTAGTCTGTTCTGGTTCCCAATGCGACAGACATCCTGTATTTCTTCCCATGGCACCACTGCCAAGACGTCACGTCACAGAACTTGGGAGCTCAACCTGCTGCGGGCCTGTGGTCTGGGGGGTTGGATGGTTTGAGTTGTTGGGGCGGTGGAGCCGTTTCACTTGATTACATTTCTGGGTCTGATGTTAGACTAAAGGACACCCAGGAATGTTTACTATTCAGTGTTTAATGTAACTGGCCCAGCAACGTGCGAGGGGATTCCCGACGCCAACTCTGGAGGCTACGGGCTAAACGTTTTGCACTGTTTTTATACTTGTGTTCATATCCTCTTATCACCTCAGACTCAGACACAAGGCCTTTTAAGTGGAGATTTAAAAAATTACTGCCATTTATGTAAAATAATGTACTGTGACCGAGTTGCTTAAATAGAAAATAAAGTGCTTTCTTTAAGGGAAATGGTGTTTCTTAGTGTGTCTCCTGAACTGTTTTGCTGTAAGGGAAGCCTGTGTCAGAGCTGGGCGGCTGCTTTGGCCACTGAGGGGTCCCCGTCCTGTGACCTAAGTTACCCCTAGCCCTGAACTGTCCTTTTCCTGCTGGTTACATTTTCTAGTTTTATAGGCCAGGCATCCTGCTTATTTGGACATTCTGTCAGCAGTAATATTTCTAATCATGTCTCAGGATAGTCCAGCAAGAAGCAGAGGTCACTGACAAAGTGATTTTCCCGTGTGTCTTTAGAAGGTTCCCGAAATAGGTAAAAAGTCCTCACTGGCCCAGTCACAATATGGGTTGCTAAAGACTCACTGTCTAATTTGATGCTTGAGGTGAAGGAGAAATAAAGGAACGCTTAAGAGAGAAAACCTAAGCTTTATGAGATTTACTTGGGCCCTTGGCATGTTGACTTAAGGGGCTCATCCTTCCTTATCTGCAGGCCTGGCACTGCCCTAAAGTTGATATTTGGCATCTGGGTGCTAATGGTCACCAGGGTTCTGTGCTGCACCACACGCAAGGGTGGTGGAGGGTGATTTGGATGGAAAGAGATTAAGCACGAGTTCGTTTCAGTCCCACTTTCTTTGGTGCCTACTGGTCTTAAAAAGAGTTTTTAGCTGACACCTGCATACTCACATGAAAGGAAAGGATGTGTGGGGACAGGGACTCTGTAGAAGAAATAAAGTTCGGTTGAGGGCGTTTTGTCAGTTCTGAGTAAATCCTCACATGTGTTCCGGAGACAAAGGATGGGGGTGGCTGTGCCGGTGGCACAACAGCAGTCCCTTCTAGGGAGCGAGAGACAACAGCGGTTTCTTGAACAGCAAACGCGGTTTTATTTTACCAGCTTAAAATTTCCAGTTACCAAACAACAGTAGTGACCTCGGAGCTGCAAGGGACCTTCTGGTTTTACTGGGTGCCCTTCTCTATTATACTTAGATTTGTCACAGTAAACCTGTTGTTTGTGAGGAAGTGTTTTTTTCTAGCACGTAATTCAGACAGTCCACAGGAGAGCATTTTTCAGTGTTTATAGTCTTCTGCACCTTAAAGGTAAATCCTTCTTTGAATCAGAGAGAAGTATCTCCGTATGTGGATCACACTGAGCTGAAGACTAGAAGACAGACCGGGGTGTATTACCTAGAAGCCGCAGCTGTGAGCATGAACACACACGTTAACAAACTTCCGCACTGCTTCTGATGGAGCCGTTGGCTTTTGGAATCCCCTTCACGCTGGTCAGGATGCTCCAAAGGGAGGGATCTCCGATGCCGCAGTTTCTCTGAAATGAGGGTCCGCTGCCGGCCCTTTGCCACAGCTGCATGGAAGTCCGTCTGATACGTGCTTTTCCATCAGGGGTGGGCAGAAGGATGGGGCCTCGCAGCATGTCTGTTGCTGATGCTGACCTTCTAGATAACTGAGCACCTGTGACTCCTTTTCCAAATACTCACTACCTTTAATTTCTATCGAAGGTACATTTGTCAACGACCAATGTTAAACCATAAGGACATGTTTTCCTTCAAAGACTCAGGCAAGCAAACACTTGTCCCCTTTTAAAGTTTATGATGCTAAAAATATATAGGATACATTTGAACAGTTGAACTTTAGACTGTTCTTCTGAATGCTCCTGCTGTGATAAATGCTTTAATGAATTAGCAATCCAAGAAGAGTCAAAGAAGGAAGTTAAAATTCCCCAGATAATTCCTCCAGTCCAAGAAGTATTTGACAGAACACAAAGCAGGCATACGCACATATGTGCGGATGGCCATCCCACATGCCGCACTGCGCGTGCACACCGTCTCCCAAGGACTCCTGGGACACGAGGGCCTGCGTCTGCTGCTGCCACGGGAGTCACGGTGGTGCGGGCATCTGGAAGTCCGGGAGAATTTCAGCTACCTTCCTGCGGAGTTGCTTTCGCCTTTCTTCTTTTATTCTTTCCTCTTTCATAGAGTTTGCAAACTTCTTCCACGTCTGAAATGTGATCCAGAGAATCCTCCTTTAAAAATAAAAAGTAAAAAAAGGTAAAACACCAAGGGAAAAGTTTACTTTCCATCAGTAGAAGAATAATTCTTTGAATAAAATGTTATATAAGAAATACGGAGATCAGAATCGGAATTCAGACAGTGAGAAGTGCTATGAAGAAAATTAAGCAGTGAAACAGGATGGAGTGACTGATGGGTTTTTATTTTTCATCCAGGGGTCAGGGAAACCCTCTCTGAGGTGACATTTGAGTAGAGCACCCAGTAGCCTCTGAAAATGCAGGCCATGAGACATTCCGGGTGATGTGGTCACAGCCTGCACCTTGTGCTCAAGACAGAACCAGTGGACCGAGGGCTCCAGCAGCCAAACACCTCAAGGCAAAGATGCTGGAAACGCAAGTGCAGTACCATAGTCACAGACTGAGTCCCAGGCACTTAGACGTATGGGCATACTTCATTTTATTGCATTTCACAGATAGTGCATTTTTTTATAAACTGAAGGTTTATGGCAGCAACCCTGCACTGAGCCAAGTCAGTCGGCTCTGCTTTTCCAATAGCATTTACTTATACTTCGTGTTTCTATGGTGTATGTTGGTAATTCTCACAACATTTCGGACATTTTCATTATCACAGTATTTGTTATGGTGATCTGGGATCAGTGACCTTTGATACTACCATTGTAACTGGGGCACCACAACCCATGCACAGACAAGGCGGCACACTTAAGTGATAAATGTGCGTGTTCTGACTGCTCGACTAGCCGTTTCCCCATCCCTCTCCTTCACCTCAGGCCTCCCTATTCCATGAGACACAACAATATTGAAATGAGGTCAGTTAATAACTGGCCTCCATGTGTTCAAGTGAAAGGAAGAGTCGCATGCCTCTCACTGCAAATCAGAAGCTAGAAATGATTAAGCTTAGTGAGGAAGGCACGTCTAAAGCCAAGAGAAGCCAAAAGCTAGGCGCCTTTTGCCAAATAGCCAAGCTGTGAATGCAAAGGAACAGTTCTTGAAATTAAGATGCTTTTCCAGTGAACACGGGAATACTAGAAAACCAAAACAGCCTTATTGCTGATACGGAGAAAGTCTGACTAGTCTGGATAGAAGATCACACCAACCATGACATTCTCTTCAGCCAAAGCTTAAGCCACAGTAAGGCCCTAACTCAATTCTAGTTAGGCTGACAAGGATGAGGAAGCTGCAGAAGAAAAGTTGGAAGCTAGCAGAAGGTGGTTCCTGAGGTTTAAGGGGAAAATCCTCTCCATGACATAAAAATGCACAGTGAAGCAGCAGGTGCTGATGTAGAAGGTTATCTGGAAGGTCTAGCTCAGATCAGTCATGAAGGTGGTAGCCATGCTAAACAACAGATTTTCAACGTAGATAAAACAGTCTCATTTTGGAAGAAGACACCATCCAGGATTTTCTTAGAGGAAGTCAGTGCCTGGCTTCAGAGCTTCAAAGCACAGGCGGACTCTCTCGTTAGGAGATAAGGCAAGTGGCGACTTGAAGTTGAAGCCAGTGCTCACTGACCATTCCAAGAACCCTAGGGCCTGTAAGAATTCTGCTAAATCCACTCTGCCTGTGCTCTGTAAATGGGACAACGAAGCCTGGACGGCAGCACATCTGTTAACAGCATGGTTTACTGAATATTTTAAACTCACTGTTGAGATCTATTGCTCAGAAAAAAAGATTCCTGGCAAAATATGACTGCTGACAATGCACTTGGTCGCCCAAGAGCTCTGAAGGAGACGGACAATGAGACTAATGTTTTCATAGCTCTTAACACAACATCCATTCTGCAGCCCATAGATCAAGGACTAATTTTGACTTTCACGTCTTATTACCTAAGAAATACATTTCTTAGGGGCGCCTGGGTGGCTCAGTCGGGTTGAGGATCCAACTCTTGATTTCAGCTCAGGTCATGATCCTAGGGTTGTGGGATCAAGCCCTGCATCGGGCTCTGTGTTCAGTGTGAAACCTTCTTAAGATTCTCCCTCTCCCCCTGCCCCTTCCACTTTCTCTCTCTCTTTAAAATAAAAAACAAAAAATAAACATTTCTTAGGGCTATACCTGCCATAGATAGTGATTCCTCTGATGGATCTGGGCAAAGTAAATTAACCTTCTGGAAAGGAGTCACTATTCTAGAGGTCATTAAGAACATTTGTGATTCACGGGAAGAGATCAAAATATCAGCATTTGCAGGAGTTTGGTAGAAGCTGATTCCAACCCTCTTGGGTGACTTTGTAGGGTTCAAGACTTGAGTGGAGGAAGTAACTGCAGATGGGGTAGAAACAGCAAGAGAACTAGAATTACAAGTGGAGCCTGAAGATGGGACTGAATTGCTGCCATCTCATATAACGCTTTAATGGATGAGGAGTTGCTTCTTATGGATAAGCAGAGAAAGTGGTTTCTTGAGATGGGATCTATCCCTGTAAAGATTCCAAGAAGACTGTTGAAACAACAAAGGATTTGGAATAGGACATAAACTTCGTTGATAAAGCAGTGGCAGGGGATCAGAAGATCGACCCCAATTAAAAAAAAATTTTTTTTAATGCTTACTTATTTTTGAGAGTGAGTGCGTGTGAGCTGCGGAGTTGCAGAGAGAGGGAGACACAGAATCTGAAGCAGGCTCCAGGCTCTGCGCTGTCAGCACAGAGCCCAGCGCGGGGCTCAAACTCCCAAACCGCGAGATCAGGACCTGAGCTGAAGTCAGATGCTCAACTGAGCCATCGACCCCAATTTTAAAAGAAGTTCTACTGTGGGTAAAATGTTATCAAACAGCATCATGTGCCACAGAGGAAACTGTTTGGGAGGGGAAGGGTCAGTTGATGCAGCAAACTTCACTGTTGTCTTAAGAAATTGCTACAGCCACCCCGGCCTTCACCAACCACCACCCTGATCAGTCAGCAATCAACATTGAGGCAGTTCCTCTACCAGGGAAAAGATTATGACTCCCTAAAAGCTCAGATGATGGTCAGCCTTTTTTAGCAATAAAGTATTTTTAAATAAGGTATGTACATTTTTTTGAAGACATAGAATTCTATTGCATATTTAATAGTTACAGTGTAAACATAACTTTTAGAAATACTGGGAAACTAAAAAATTCATTTGACTCATTGTGATATTTGTTTTATTGCAGTGGCCTAGAATGGAACCCACAGGATCTCTGAGGTGTGTCTGTATATAGTTTAAAAAGGCCACTGGTAACATCACCTCCAGTAACAAAAACAGCCTTGAATTTCAGTTGAGAAAAGATTCCTGATGTCATTTTCTGGAATCACAGTTTTGGAGGGTCACATGTTGCAGCTAGGGAGACCTGCAGTGGCCTTTTAGGATAACGCAACTACCTGCACACTGGGAATGAGAAGGTAAGCCAGATGGTCTCCGCCCACACAGGGAGTTAACCTGGTGAACAGATCAGTGCAGTGAAGAGCTACCATGGTGCAGATAAGCACAGGGTACTCACCAGTCTTGTGGTGAGGAGCATCTGAAATTTTTGAAAGAGAATGAACGGAGTTTTTGTCAGACAAAAGGCTTTTCTAGAAGATGGCATGTCTTGAGTAAAGACAAAGAGGCAAGAACAGCATGGTGTGTAGAAGGAATTACAAATAGAGTTATGTTGTGGAAACAAAAATGCAGAGTAGCTGAGTTTATATTTTCACAACTAGAGGCATAGATGGGATTTATTCTGGCTTCTTGACTCTCTCACAAAACCCTAGAAGGCATCACAGTCCCCATTAGTTCCGTGGCTGATGGTTATTTGCTCTTTCTGATATTGGTGATTTTTGTTGGTGGAAGTTAAGCACAAAAAGGCTTCAAGGAGTGCAGCTACATTTGCTTTCTTCCTTCTCCTATCCAGTCCTCCATCTACTGTCCTCAGCTGTCTGGCCACCCAGGCCTCGACCCTGTCTTCCGACTCTTACCTCTGTTCACCTCTTTCTCCTGGCTCCCCTCCCCCTTTCTGACTTGTACATTTTATCTCCTACTGTTCTGCCCTAATGGAAATGGTCTGCCCCCTCGAGAAAAATCTTCCTAGACTATCTTTGCCTGCATTTATCTTTCTTTCCTCTGAACTCCTCTTACAGCACATGGTCACAATCATTGGTTTGGCACTTATTTATGGTCTGTATGTAAGCATGTATCTATCTACTCTTCATTTTCTGCTGAATTATGGGAGCCAGACACCATGTTATTAGGCATTTTTTATGCTTGGCAAGTATGTCTTGATAGATGACATGTGCATGTATTGTGTTAACAAATGTGTTGTGAGTCACCAACATAAGAATTCTTAACGTGAGGTCCACAGATTCTTTGACATTTTGTGTAACATTGTATGAGATGTGCATATGCCCATTTCTGGGGGTATAGTAGGTCTGTGACTGTTATTCCTATGAAGGGGCCTATCATTCCAAAATGCTTCAGAGCTATAGTACTGAGGCAATATCAGAAATATAAGTACTTCTCTGTCACTTGTTACAGTCTTTGTTTTAAAGTTTATTTTGGGCGCTTGGGTGGCTCAGTCAGCTAAGCATCTGACTCTTGATTTCAGCTCAGGTCATGATCTCACGGTTCATGAGTTTGAGCCCCATGCTGGGCTCTGTGCTGACAGCACATAGCCTGCTTAGGACTCTCTCTCTCCTCCTCTCTCTACCCCTCCCCAGTTTGTGCTCTCTTTCTCTCTCAAAATAAATAAACAACAAAAAATAAGCTATATTTTGTCTGCTGTAAGTATCGCTACCCTGGCTTTCTTTTCACTTCCATTTGCATGATAAATGTTTCTCCACCCCCTCATTTTCAATCTGCAAGTGTCTTTAGGTCTGAAATGAGTCTCTTAAAGGCAGCATATAGATAGGTCTTGCTTTTTTATCCATTCCATCCTATGTCTTTTGATTAGAGCATTTAGTCCATTACATTAAAAGTAATCATTGATAAGTATGTACTTATTGCCATTTTGTTACTTGTTTCATGGTTATTTTTGCAGTTCTTCTCTGCTTTCTTCTCTTGCTCTCCTCTCATGG